TATTTTAATAAAAATAAAAATAATAACAAAAATTATTATTTTTTTAGAAAATATTATAAATAATATTAAAATAATAATTTTATTTTGTAATTGTGAAATATTACAAATATGTTTGGTAACAAACATTTTTGTTAAAGCTTGATTTGAAACATGCCAACGATAGTCTAGATTATTTTTATCATTTTTTCATGAATGTTATTCGAGAAAATATAAATTACGTATTGTTAAATTATTTTAACTTGAGTGTATGACTTTAATTAAAAAGTAACCGTCCATTCTAGATGGTCCCCGAAGTGGTGAGATATAAAGTCTAGAGGAAGGGTAAATAGACTTTGTTACAAATTCAAAAATTTTTTCGTTTCTTTTTGAAAATGTGAAAGAGTTGTTAATCTAAAGTTCTTAAGAGCTTAGATTAAGTGTGCGGAAGTTGGTGGATTGTTGGAGTAGTAATTAATATGGATTTGTTAGTTTCACAATTAATATAATCATAAAAATAAGTAGAGATAGAGAGAGAGACACGCAAACTTTAACGAGGTTCGAAGTTGAGGTAATCCTTCTACGTCCTCAAAATCCACTAGGTAATTGGTTGTTGATAATGAACCAACAATTACAATAGTGAATGCATGGTATATCTTCACAAAGAAAATGTTGCTACTGCACTCGTGCTGGCTTTGTTGTTCCTTCAAAGGTCAAGCTTCTTCAACAACTACAAGATCTAAACAATAGGACTTGCAAGATCAGTTTGTAAGAAAACTGATGTGCCCCGTTTTAATCACAATGTTTGATTAAAAATATATCCTTCAACTTGGTGTTGTACTTGAGGCAAGGAAACCTTCAAGTATTTTCACTTATAGCTCTTTGGAAGAAGGAGAAGTTTGCTTCTAGATATGGAGCTTTGAAATCTCTCTTTATCAAGCTTTTGAGGATTTTTCACTCTTGGTTAACTGTGATTGATGGTAGGTTGTTTTTTATTCAATCTTCTGTAGAAGCTATATATAAGTGGTTGGCTGGTTTAATCTATCCGTTGAAGGGAATAGATTAATCTAACGTTTTCTGGCTTCAATTTGAATGAAGGTCCGTGAGGATTGTCCTTGGAAATTTTCTCTTGGACATAAGCTTTTGTTGAAGATTGATTCCTTTGACATGGAATTTTGTCTTCTAGCTTTTGTTAGAGAATTCTGGACTGTAGATCTTTAATTGGGGAGTCCATACTTTGTCTTCTTGTCATTTTTTCTCGAATTAATTTGAATTATCCTCAGTCTATCCATTTGAAAATCAAAGAGTTGATTTTTCCTTGGTAACAGATAGAATTCCTTCAATCATGACTTAGATAAATTTTCTAAGTCCTTTTTCTCACTTGACTGTTTAAGAGTTCCGGTCCTTTGAGAAATCCGGCTCTTGGTTCTGAGATTTCCGGGTGAGAAAGTGTCTGACAGAGCGATTTGCGCTAGTCTTCCGATACATAGATATTCGGATTGCTAGCCTTCACACGGATGACTGTGAGACTTCTGGGTAGAGCTTGAGTCTTCTGGATTTTAGAATTCCGAAGTAATTGACATATCTGAGAATTCCTTTCTTGTCTATGATATCTCCGAGCGAGAGTTTCGATTTCCACATCTTTGATTTTGATAAGTCTTCAAAACATGGATGCTCGAATCTCAAGATGAAATATCACAAGTTTTATTTGAAAACTTAAGAATTTGGTTTTAACATGATTTCTAATGAAAATAAAATTACATTGAATTATGGGGGAGACCTAGAGTCCCTATTACAATTTACAATCTACATACATCATCATCAAAATCTATAATATTTTTTCCTTTGTAAATTACAAACTCAAAACATCATGTGTAAATTTGGTAATTGGTTCAATTGATTGGGTTCTGATTTAGATATATTCGATCCAGGTTTATTTTGGATATATGTTACTCCTTCCGTCTATAAAGGAACTTCTCATTTTTATTTTTTTAGTAATACCTTTTAAACTTAGACCATAAATTATGGAATAAGATACAATAAATTACTAAGAAATCACCCTACATAGCACTCTAACTCACCCTAAATTACGCATCTAGCACTACTCATTGTTTTTAACAAATTTAGCACTTTTTTGGGGTCAATCCTTTCCTATCATGCCCTTTAACCTTTTTTCTTTTTCTCATTAAAAATTACGGCACTCCCTAGGCCGCATGTACTCTTCTTGCGCTCGGCCGCACGTTCTCCTTCAGTCGCCCGCCATCATGCGTCCTCAGGCCTTCTCCCACGATCTGGGCGGATCAGCAGCGGCAATCATCAGGTTATCTCCGCCTCCTTCATCGATGTGGCTAATCATTTTCTCTTCTCCTTCAATTTTTAATTTTCATTCCTTCATCCCTTTTCCATGTATTTTTAGTTTTAATTATTGTGTTTTATTCGTACTGAAGATTAGGTGGTGTGAAATCAATTTTGAAATACCTAGTATTTGTTCCTTTTGAAAAATTAGGTCTTTTGAAAGGCATTGTGATTTTGGCAGTGTTAAGATTATGTGCTATGGTGTGGGCAGTGTGAAGATTAAATGCCTAAATGTTGTCCTGCATTTTTAG